TTTAATTCCTGAATTACGATTGTTCTGGTTTTCGCCTGTTTATCCCTTGTTGACACAATGTTACAATTAAACGTTCACCTGTGTAATTTTATTGTGATCAGTGTATTGATTAACGTTAATAATGTAATTAGTTCACCTAGAAATAAATATCATCATCGAATTAAAAATTTTAGTGATGAAGATGATCATCCAATTGTGATCTCATCTGCTCATCATCAATTATATCACAATGATCAATTTCAATCTAAAAGGTTACCAACAACAACTACCACAACTAGACAACCCTTTTTACACCGGTCAACTGTGATGACCACTGATTTTGATAATCAATTTAATCCATTTAAAACTCACCTAAAGGTTAATGTCTCAGTTTTACCATTGAAATCACGACCCATTATTGTTAAAGGGCCAACCACAAGTTCAACATCAACTACAACCACAACTACGACTACAACGTCGACCACAACAACACCAGCACCAAGGGTGTTAATTTCATCCTCAACTACAACCACAACTCCGAGTTCGTTACCTTTATCGTCAACACAGGCTAATCTTGTTGTTCAACCTTCGACTACTCATAAACCACCAAAACCAACCAAAGGACGAAGTGAACTTGATATGAGCACATCTTCATCAGTCAACAATTTAACGATCGCTCATCCAATCAATCAACAAGATAATAAGTCGGGCACTTCTTTACTTCAACCGTTAACTTTACTGCTTATGTCTTACCTTGCAAATCGCAAGATAAATTCACTTCCAGCTGATCGTAATACCCATGGATTAAAATATTTACCCTCATATCCGACGCATCCTTTACCCTCCGTGATAAATAATTCATTTTACGAATCTTCAGATCACAATTTAAACGATAACGAGACTGAATCACGAACCATTGCTTCCTGGTTTGGTGGTCTTACTCGTCGATTAAAGCGACCTAAACATCCACACAGAAGAGACCATACCGTTGGCCCTGGTCGAGGTACAATTCCTATTCATTATGAAACCGCTCCGATTTCATTGGCATCACTTCATGGACCTTCATTGGCATCGATTGGTCGACCTGGTTCATCGTCAGATCAAATGATTCTTCCTGGTCTATTACCTCAACCAGAAGGTTTTCCAGGTCCTTATAATCCTGAGAATTCAGTTTTACTTCCTCCTGATATCATGGAAAATTCTGGTATCAAATATTGGCTCGATTTCATTGAAAAGGGAGGAACGACTGATGATATTCCCCCGTCACATTATAACGGTTCACCAGCTCCTCTTCCCCCTCATTTTCATCGTCCCATCATCCGCATTCCCCTCATCCTCCATCACCTTTATCACCACAGACAATTTTTGAAACAGCGGGTTCAGATCACGATGAGGTCGATTTCAATAATGCTGTTAAAAGGCAATTCAAACGACCTCCAATCCAGGCCAAACCTGATGGTAATCGACATGGTACAAGATACAGACCAAATCAAAATCGACCATCAAATGGAGGCTCAAATAGTGGCAATGGAAATAATGGAAATCAAGGTGATAATCAGAAACACAGTTACGGTGAAACAAGTGATTCTCATGATGGTACTGATAGAATTGGTAATAATAATAATAACAACTACGATTCGGATCGTCATAAGAATGAAATGTCACCTCGTTGTGACAAATTCACTGCTCATATTTGTGTTGACGATTTCGAGTATCCAGAACAAGCGATTGTCGATGAAATTTATAAAAGAAGAGACATTTTTGAATTGATGTATTCAGAGGTGAAAGGTAATCCATCATTGGTTGACGGGATTCCAAGAGATGTCGAGGAATCGTATAGCTATGATATCGACGATTCGAGCGATGATTCTGATGAAGACAATGATTCACCAGGAGATAGAAATGATGTGTTGGGTGATGAAAGAGTTGTCGATCCAATGTATTCAGCAGCAAATTCAGATTCATTTATAAAATCCGGTGGAAGACAGGGAATCAGATCATCAGGAGGAAACGACGGATCTTCGGGCACAAATGGTGCTTCTAATAATAACGGCGGTGGAAGTTCATCTAAAGATACTGCGAGTAGTGGTTATGTTTGTCCTTCTGAAGTTCTCTATGGAAAACCTAAACTTGCTCGTAACATGAAAGGCGATTGGAAGGTGATTGTAAACGCCGCTGAATTCACTCAAACGGTTCGTATGGAAAAGTGTCTTCGACCCAATCAACGTTGTAATTATGTGACCAACATTGGAATCGCTTCCCGTTGTGCTCAAGTTCACTCTTTCCATCGACTAATGGTGTTCGAAAAAGGTAAAGGATTTTACATCGACACCTTCCGTATACCGACAGCATGTTCATGTCACATTAGACGAACCGGAGGTCCAACTGGACCATCACCAATGTCCGACTTATTAGGATTAAATGAATCACCTGGAACCGGGTCAGGATCATCGAGCGGATCAAATTTAAATGGTGCCAACGGCGGAACAGTAGGTTCCAATAACAATGGACACGTTTCAATAGGTAAAAGTCCAACACCGATACAGTTGAGTAACGCACTTTGGTCAATTCTTGGCTCTGGTCCAGGTAATCAAGGACCGACAACAATGTCAGGTAATCCTTTCTCGGTATTGGATAACATTAACGCTGTAAATAGTGACCTATTAAAGGCTCAACTTTCCGTGTTATCAAGTCTGAAAAACTATCCTTCTTTAACTGGATCAATATCACCTGAGAGTGTCTTGCAACAATTAACATCTCAATCAGATGCAATTCAAAATATTCAAGGATTAACTGGATCATTTAATCCAACCACTGGTTTCTCTTCAATTACTGGTAAATCACCTTCATCAAATAATCCAAATGATTTATCAAACAATGAATATCTTTTACCTGGAATGATTTATGCTGAGGAACCTTTATCATTCCAAGAGCATTCAGATAATTTGGGTGGACGATTAAGTAGCTCACATCCAAGTGGAACATTTACTCGAGGCTCATCATCACCTTTATCATCTTCTTCGTCATCTTCATCATCCTCAATTCCTGGCAGCGAAATGTCCAACGGAGGTACACCATTGGTCCAAGTTATTCATGTTCCAGTTTCATCTCATCCTTTATCCCCACAACTCCAACGGCACCATCACCATGGTTCCACCACAAGTAATATACAATTCCCTGTGTACAAACAACCGATAAACCCGACAAATACTGACCTTCACACTTTGACCGCTTATGCTTCGGCCAGTAAATCGTCAGCGGATGCACTTAAATCGGAACGAAAACCTCCCGATTATTTTCAACGGAACAAGAAAGAAACAAAATGAACGTTAATCGAGCTTCAGATTCCAATTCCAATTCAAATTCTAATAACAATCAAAATAATTTCGATTCTAATCAACATGATAACGATAATGACCATGATTCTAATCAACAATCAACTAAATTAAATGAGACAATTAGCACTTACGATTCAGTGGTATTAACAAGTACACCCAAAGTCGCAGTCACCGGTGAATCAAATTCCCATGTTACTCATCCTCAGGAAACAATTAAATCAAATGATAAAAATGATTCAACAAACAACAATCATTTAATTACTACAATCAACAATAAAAGTAATGATACTAATACCAATTCGGATAAAACATTAGCTAATTCAGTTTCCGATGGAAAAGTTAATTTCTCATATCATCCGATATTAGAATACATTTTACCATCTCAATCAACTTCATGAGAAAAATTTAATTGTTATGATAACAAGTGAAAATCAATTAACTATTTGATTATTATTATCAAGTTAATCTTTAATTTCCTTTAACAATTAACTGTTCAAAACTCAAACTCAAACTCACACACAAACACACATATGAAAAGTGTATATTTATTTTTACTTCAATCGTAAACAATTAACTGCTTATCAACAATTCCCTTAATTGTAACACTTTACTTATTGTCAATCAATTGTTTCAATTGAAAATAAATCATGTAAATAAAATAATTGTCATTCAACTGATTTGTGAGAGTATTTAATTATTACGACAATTTAAAAAAAAAAAGTTACCAATAGGAAAGAGATGAAAATAATTAACCATAAATCATTTTAATTCAATAATTGGTTCATTTAATTTATGTATAACTAAATCTATCAGATTACATTGTAACAATTTAAATTGTTCCGTTGATGATTTTGTTTCATTTGATTTTGGTTGAAAACAAAGTTTTACTTTTAGTTGGCTTAATGTTGAAACAATTTAATCGATTTGTTAATCTAATTTAATTTAAATGTACAATCAACAATTAGTATTGGAAAAACAAAAAGATCATCTCGGATTTAAATTGTTATGGTTGTTAACAATTAACTATTAATTGGTTAATTGTAATTGGAAAGAGGCGATGAAAACTTTCCTGAGAGAAAAAGTTTATTTTTCTTAATTGAAACACAATACAAAATCATTACCAAGTTAATTGTTGTTTAACAATCGTGTGAAACTAATTAACAACAGTTAATTATTAAACTAATCAACCAATCGTTAGATGGCGATGGTTATAATTACATAGACATCCGAAGACACAATTTAACTGTTGATGGAAACAACAATTAACTTCACTTTCAATTCTCATGTTGATCAGTTAAAATTGATTAAAGTTAAACTGGTTCTCTAGTTTTTTTACAATTAAAAGTGTTCAGTGATTTTCAATGTGATTTGTGATCAACAATCAGGCTAATCAATTCCTCATCATTAACTACTAATCTCACCCGATTTAATCGAGTGTCTTTTTAATTAACCAATTAACTCGATTTTTCGAGTGAGATTGTGTTGTTGTTGGTGAACTTTCTTCCCTGATTAGTTAATTGTTTCATTCTAGTGATTAAAAGTAGAGTATTTCTTCAGGTATCGATGTGATTAATCAAATTTAAATCGATACTTGATGAATTACTTTCATCTTTTTTTTTACTTTAATCTCATCATTAAAATTTAAGTCTAGTGATTAACTGAAATTGTCAAATGAAAACAAAATTAAAGGTAAGATTTTATTTTATTTGATTTGGTTGATTTAATTTAATTGTATTGAATTGAATTTATTTTGTTTCTCATAATCAACAGGCAACATCCAAAGTGGTCTTAAAATAATAGTTAATTGTTAATTTAAAGTCAACGAAAAAGTAAAGAAGGAAAAACAAACAAATTAAATAACATCAACAATTAAGAACGAAAATTTTGTTTTCTAACAATTATGGTGATTAACAAGGAACAATAATCTTTGGTAAATTATGTATACATGATGATTGATTTTATCCCTTTGATTGTGGACAATTAACAAATGAGCTGACAAACAATTAGTTGATAATTTAACCAGAAATCAAGGTAAGAGTGAAATCATTTTGAAGCTTTTTAATTGTTGAAACCACTGAGTTGATTAGATTGTTGTTGTTGTTGTTGTAGTGATTTAGACGATTCTGTGTGATTATTATTATGGTTGATGTATTGTTATTGAGAAAGTGATTTAAGAAGCAAAATAATTAGCTTGATGATTAAGAAGGCAATTAATAACTCCCATTTTCTCTTAATTATATAATTTGAGTAATTACAATTAGAGAGAGAGAAGAGTAATTAGAGTGAGAGAGAAAATGTCATGAGCTGTGATCATCTTTGTATCATTGGCTATTAATTTCCAATAAATATACTGACTAGTTAATTGTAATCATCTAAACATAACTGCACATAATTAACTTTTTTTTCAGGTTTAGATTTGCCTTGAACGAAATAAGCGGAAGTAGATGTTATAATATTAATATCAATCCATTGAGACAATTAATTACAATTATCTAGTGGATGATGTTGGTGTTTGTTGTTGTTGTTGTTGTGGTGGTGGTGGTGGTTTTCGGTGGTGTTAATTGTTGATTAATAACTGGATTACATTGATTCCTCAATCTTGATCAACTCAAGAATACCATCTTGCATTTCCTTGACGGCCTGGTACTCGGTAAGTCCTAATCGTCTCTTGTTGGAGATATCGTAAACACCACCTTCAGATTCGGTGTGTTCACCTCGAGTACCTCGAACTTGTAAACTGTATTTAGCAGCGACTTCGTCAAGCTTTTTCTTATCAGCGGCAAGTTTGGGTAAAGCGATGTGAACACTGGCTCTGATTGTGGTACCAAGATTGGTTGGACAGAAGGTCAAATATCCAACTCGATCGTCTCTGCTGAAGGGCATCTTAGATTCAATAGTACTAACAGCCTAGAAGAAGAACAGAAAAAGAGATAGAATCAGTTCAATTATATTGTCATGGAAATTATTCAATTACGATTGAGTGAAACTCTCTGACGATAAGACTTTAAGCTAATACGATGTTTGGAATTGAAGTTCAATTCTATGTTCAAATTGAGTCGATTAGAGATTCAATTCGATACATTATC